CACTAGCTACACAGGAGGATTCGATATCACTTTGTTGTATGCAAAAAACAATCTATGAATGGGTGTCTGTGATGTGTGTCGAGTCTTGCAAATGACAAAAGATTCGTGCAAAAACACATAAAAGTCGTTTATTTTAAAATGTTATCAGTAAAATCTGTAATATGAGTCGAGGGAAAAATAATAACTTGGCAAAACCTTTTAAATTAATTACCTTTCATTGTCCGAGGGCAGCCGATGATTATCCAGAATTTCGATTTCTTGGGCAAGTTCAACTTTTTTACTCAAGTTTTATCAACAAACCCGAACAATAATCCTTTCACCGATATTTAGAGGCTAGCATAATAATATTATCAATTCGTTTTTCGCTTAAGTCACACGCAGAGCGCCGTCGCACACATCGTACTACACTAACACATAGAAACGCACACACTAACACTGCTGACAGCCGTTTATACTGTCAGTCGTCGTAGTCGTACCACTTGTAAAAATCGCAGCACGTTTATTTGAACATGAAATATTAATATCGTAACGTAAATCAAACGGCTATGCGAACTTGAATTTGAAATAATATATTAATATTACAAACGACCGAACTACAACACAGTCACAATCGAAAACTAACGACTGACGATGATAACGATAACTATTGCTGGTCTCGATAATAATATTGTAACATTGCAGTGGGATTGATAATAAACAAAGAATATCGTTATGATATTTTTCTCCACTGCACAGCGCTCCTCTGGTACGCGTTGTCGCCTTACTGTGATTGTGACAACATGGACAGAACGCGTGTATCGGTGAATGTGCGTGCGTTCGATGGGCGCGACGGTAGTGGGGGCCGATACGGCAGAGGTTCCGAACTCCCACCGCTCGAGTTCCCCTTGACTGGTACTCTGAATGCCGATCCCTACCAACGTTCACTGCCACCTGGTACAGCAAAACATAATATACCGGTCCGGTGGTCGTCTCCACTCGTCCTCGTTGAGCCCCATTCATCGCTACGGGGCCTCTAACATACAGCGGCGCGCCTTCATCGCTATTACGCGAAAATACACCGTGTTCGCCGTGAGCGATATTGCAACGCGTCCGGACACAGATGATTATGACATAAATTGTGCGAATGTTGTTAGGTTTGAAAAAAAAAGAACATTTAATGAATTTTTTTATCATTTTAAAACACTTACTATCACCGTTATGGCGATAAAATTCTAAAGTTTCAACCAAACTTTACAAATACTAGATTTTATAATAGCCGTAAACAACATTTTTTGGTATAATATAAAAATTACAACACTTAAATCATTGATTAGAAAAATTATCTTATCACTATCGCTAAGAGTTAAACAATAACAGAGGACAACAAAAACGTGGGAATTAATTATTATTTATTATTCATTACTATTATTTGGTATTTAATACCAAATTGTCTACATATTTCATATACAAGACGTGTGCAAATGTTACTTTTTAAATAATCGTCAATAGAGATTTCTAAAAAATGTGTTTAAGTAATTTTTCTAACCCACTAATTTAATTACTCATTATAGACTCTTGGAGTATACATCGGCAACGAATCCCTAGTATTTATAAATAACAAAAAAAAAATTTTATAATATGTCCCACTATACAATAACCAATAAAAAAAAAACTCCTCTAAAAATCCTTTATTCATAAAAATATTTTAGGACTCATTATAGAAGGGTGTACTTCGATACTTCCTCGATACGAACCTTATAAATAAACACATACACACCACCACAAAAATATTTACTAGTGAAAAATTGATTCATAATTTTAACAGGTTTCGCCTGATAATAATGCGAGCATAACAAATACTGAAATATAATTGAGATAATGTATAACCTCTACTATCTAATTTTATTTTTATTTAAAAAGATATGATATAATTTACAATAGGATTCCATTAAAAATTCCTACAGGATTTATTTTGTTAATATTATTAAAACTGGACACACATTGACATAAGATTAATTAAATGTAAATAATTATAAATTATTCATGTTTCGATCAAGATTTTATTTTTAAGGATGGAAAAGTTATGGGTAGTAGCAAATCATTTATAGCCCTAGCAGTGTCCTGTTGGCATTTTATTTAATTTATTGGTAGAATGCTAATAACTATTTACGCCAAACCTTTGAAAGTCGAGGTCGGATGATTTCGCCGTTTAGCAAACGTCATTTTCGTGTGTCAATTACATAGAGCAAATACACAAATGCATTGATGTCCCTCGCGTGTTCATGTGTGTATACATAGTATGTATTATTGTGTACACTTACACAAATCATGAATCCATTTTTTATTCCTTAACGTGTCCAAACAAACAATTAACAAAAAAAACAACACAGGTACATTTAAACATGTATATCACTCCGAAGCTCATAGGAAACTTAAATATATAATTGCAATCTATCGTTGACGACCAACGAATCTCAAACTATAAATAACTGACCATCGAAAGTCAGTCATCACTTCAATCACTGTGTATATTACATGCACCTCGGGCCGTATGAATAGATGCAATGGCTGTGTCCAACGCGAATATCGCCTCTTGATCTGGTACACAATTATTCATTGTTTTTCACGACCATTCGCGTATGATCTGATGATTATTATAATAACTACTCATTATAAACAGAAACGCGAGGAATTTCTTGTATATCGTGTCTTATAATACAATAAAAAATTATAAACTCATAGTAATGAATTCTAGATGTCTACTCGGATATCTATTGTGGGTTGCCACAATAAAGCATAAAATAGGCTGCAGAGCTGCTTAATTTCTCATTAGATTGTGTTTGTATGGAAAATGCATTACGTTTTCAATAGAAAACCTGCGGCGGTCATAAATTATTACACGTGCACAGGGACAAATGGATTTTGCATATTAATATTACTATTCAATATGGTTTACTCAGGGACACGGCGTCGACGTTGGTGAATCCGGTATGCCGATAGGGATCAAAGGACCATCGCAGTTGGGCAAGGGGATGTAGACATTGTTTGTTGGGGAGATTTCAGTTGCAAAAACTATACAACTCATGAATCACGTTATCATACACGGCCCTGACATTCAATTTCGTACCTCAGATTTAACAAATCCAACGTGCTGGTGATAGTTTCCAATTGGAGGATCGCCTCACGAAACGTATCATTGTTGTTGTTATACTACGGTACAGGGTGATGCACCTCTACAGAAACGAATAACGAGGGCAAGCCCTGTTTTTGAAAAAATAACGAAGAGCGGTTAGTCACCACCAGTCTGTACATCAGACATGGAATATAATATTATACAACGTCACGATTTCCGCATTTATAGCAATTATTGTTCACAGGAGTTTTTTCTTATGAAAACGTTGAAACTCATCAACACGAGAGATTATCATAGTCGATAAAAACGTACCGCCTGTGGCTACCAACACACAACATTTATGCGGGCTGGTCGATGATTTTTAATAAAAAAAAAATTTCACATCACATCTAATCGTTTACTTCTTTGACTGTCAATTGACATATGAGGGTGACGACCCAGCAGTGTTGTAGACTCTTTATGAAAAGAAACAATTTAAGTTTTTAACAATAAAATATTATTTACTGTTGCGATAATATCGTGACAATTCTCACGATAAGATTTCTGCAATGGTTTTCAAGCCAAAAAATCAATGAAAATCTATTGCTGTGTAAACAGTCTTTATGCACCTACATGTTTATACAACAACACGATTTTCAGTTGCACAAAAATAAATATTTTATTTGTTTTATTCTAACATAAGGGACGTATTTTAAATTGCAAATAATAAATTGGTTTCCGTATGTCGGCGAGCGTTGCATGGTGATGTATTTTTTTTTTCTTTTACCATAGTACCAGGCTCCGTTTGAAACAAAACAAGTCCAGTTCAACAACAATAATAATAAGTTCTGCGTAACTTCCTACATGCAATTCGATTATAACGACAAAAAATAGGACATATCGCCAATGCTTTGCCGCGTAGGACGTATAAAAGATAAAAAATTAAAAATTTATTAACACTCGGGTTTTATCAGAGGCGTTTTTTTTGGTTCGTCCTGGCATCTACGCAATCTTCCTCTTCCTTTGCTTAATCCACTCGAGTGCATGCCCGCATCAGGTCTTGATCCCTATTAAAGTGGGTAGGCGATAAAAATAATGTGCGACAGGAACTTGATAGACCGTTGTCGTTAATTTCGTACATCGTGTGTCTAAAGGAATGGAGCTAACAGGGCTTACAATCAATCACATGACAAGCTTACTAACGCTCGTTAGTCACAATTCTCAAATATTGTTGAACATTTATAAAAAAAAAAAAATTAACCCACTTTTC